TGGCTAGTCCATTCAAGTACAACCAAAATCTGGACCCACTCAAATTCTCCAATTTTTCCTCCTATTATGTCTCTAGAAGAATTTTAAACTCATATTCCCCGCGATTTTCTCCTGCTTTCAAAGATTGTGAGTGCACAACCACACTTGTACTTGTAGTACAGCTAATTAGTTGCGTTACATGCCTTTTTCTAATTAAGCCTCATCAAATCCCAGAATGTCATCTCGTCTACACCATTTCTCCATCCAAACCACTTCCTTTTTCTTGAGAGACAGAAATAAGAAAAAAAAAAAATAGTAAGTGGCCTTCCTTTACAAAGCCTCCGTGAACACACAGCAATCCCTAAAGCAGCGCTATGTGTTACCCTGATGCTGATACCTTTTTCCAAGAAGGAAAAGGGCAGCCCAGTCCATTATGGAAATGATCTGTCTCGCCTGTTCACTTTACATGCCTTGCCTAAGATATTTCGCTGCTTGAAAATGCCCTCCCCAGTGTGGACCTCAACAATCTTTTGATGTCAGTTGCCAAGTCTTCACCTCTGTCAATCAAAAGTTTCTATTGTAGAGCAAGTATCACACGGATCTTGCATTATTTGATATTTCATGTGTCAGACAGAACTCACCAATAAAATTTTAAGATATTTAAGGGTGAAGGGCATGTGGTATATTTCTGCACACTTCCCAGAAACCAGTAGCTGGGCTTACCAATGCAAGGCCAAGTTCTACCCTCTTAGATAAAATTCTTCAATACAGTGTACATTAATTCTCCAATTTCATTTTCCCTTTACATCTCAAATAACAACCACTTAAAAACTCCACCTTGATCATATTTAAAGATACATGAGGCTAATTTCAATTTTTTAACAGGAACCAAAAAAAAAAGTCTTTCCCAAGAGGCATACATAAAGGTTATCTAACAACAGTTGGAAGATAAGTCAACATTTAACTTTATTTTCCCAGTTTCATTTTATAAAAGATTTAAGAACCAATTTAGGATACTTGTCTTCAAAGAGGAAGTATCTTAAATGCAAGAATGATTTATAAGTGAAAACTTCAAAGAAAAAGCATGTCTTAAATCATTAAAGAGCAAATAGTTGAGTGGAAAGAAACAGGTTTATTATTTTTCTCAAAATTGTGCTTTAAATGTTTTTCAAAATTTTAGCTCCTGGTATGGAAAATTCCTTTAGTTATATACAAAAAAAAGTAAGTACAAATTAAGTACCAAAAATCATACCCTCAACATTTGATGTAATATGGCAAAAATGTTCATTACCACAATATTAAGAAATATCAACAGTATGAGTTTGAATAACTAATTCATAAGGAAGAGTTTGAACTGGACCAAATCCTGGGTTTTCTTTCGTCACTCTAAGTTTCTTTTCTATTTTAAACTAGTGGCAACAGAAATTTCTTTGTTTCAAAGTCAGGAATGCTGGAATTCTTAAGTGATAGAACAGGTAGCTCGACTTCTACTTCACGTCTCTCCTCAGGGGGAGAAAAACACTGTGGCTAAAGTAATTTTGTTTTTATTCCTGGAAAAATCATCTTTTCCATCAATCTTCATAATTCTCTAAAATAAACTGTTAAAAAGTTATAGGCCAGTCAGGCACTTCACCATGATTTGTGGAAATCGTATAGAGTAATTTCAAGAACACATGGCTAACTCAAGTTTCCTTATTTCTCTAAAGGTCTAAAAGCTGCTTCTAAAGCTAACAAAACTCTGGGAGAATTTTACAAGTACACGAGATATTTTTGCATCTCATCTGCAATATTTTTGAAGAAAAGAATAGTAAGAGTACTTTAGGCCCAAGAGTCATTCTGCATGCCATCAAATTTATTTTTGGGGTACTGTATGATTTTAACTGCAGAAAACTCTGGTATTGCACCAAAACCCTAGGAGCCACATCTACAAAGAAGGTGGAAATAAGTTAAGAAGTTACCATCCCATAAAGGCACAGACAACAAGAAGTCACTATTCCTCTCTTCTTTTGCTAATATTGAGATGATTGCTCGAGCCAAATCTGGTGGTTCACAGTTATTACAATTTGGGAAGGGATAAAGTAAAAGGCAGAATTTGGAATTTCCAATATGTGATTCACATTCTAAACCACCTTAATTAAAATTTAAAAATTCAAGAGAGGAGCAACTCAGATAATGAAACAAAGCAGGGAGCAAGAAGCAATACTTAAGAGCAGGCCTTTCCAAAACATATAAATCAAATAAAGACAAATCAAATAAGGACCGGAAATCACATATGGCAAATAAAGTTGAGACAAATGAAATAAAGACCAGAAACCACTTTCTTCTGGGCACACACAGAGTTCCCCAGAATCACCAACTTGAGGAGCTGGGAGGCACTGTGCTGTGCTGACGCAGGCATGCAGGCGCGCACACAATGGAGCCAGCAGCATGGAGGCCCTCACAGACACAAACTTTACATCTGTAAAGTTCCATTCTCCATATAATGGCAAGGAGAGTGTGGTGGGAACTTCTGCACACTTTCTTCCACATCAGACAGATCAAAACTGTAGTTATTATCGAAAACTACTAACACTCTTGATACCATCAAAGGCAGAAGTGAATGAATGGGGTGTGGGGTAGGGTGCAGGGGGAGAGAGGGAGGGCAGGAGGAGCAGCCTGAGAAGTTTGAGGCTTTCACTAAAGCTTGAATGGATTCACCTTTAAAATAGCGCTAATATTTTTCATTTTCCTCTTTCTTCCTCTCTGTTTTATTAAATACACACAAACTTCCTGGGACGCCACAAAGTTTGCTCTGTGTTCAGCTAAAAGGCCTGGTGCTAAGGACCCAGGGGAGTCCCGGGATAGATCTATGACCTACACAAACGGTCTCTTTGGGGAAAGTATATTTAGCATCACTTTTTACATGCAGAAAGTGCATAAAGTATGATCAATTACTTTAAAAAATTGAAAAGAAAGAGTAACTCCATACATCAATGAGTAAATTGAGGCCTGGATCCACAGCTCTTTGATTTCTACTAGAAACATAAGTTGTCTATTTAATACTCTAAACATTGTTTCTACACTTGAAAAAAGTCTGCATTCACATTTTCAGAAGATAATAAGAGACTGCGGCTTTAGTGTTTCTAGCCTCTGACCTATTCATAAATGGGTTGTTTAGGCTATCAGGCACAGGAGAAAAACACACACAGACCACAGCCGTGAATACTTAAAAGTTAGTGCACTTGGAGAACATCTAGTACGTAAGCCTGAAACGGACGCATGTCCAACCACAACAGCAAAAAAAGCTTATTTCTTCCTTAGTAAAATGGAAATACAATAGTGGGTAACTGAGTAGATGTTGGGTCGAGTAAGAAGTTGGGTCTCACGCTGTAGTCCCTTGTCCAGGACAAAAAGCTTCTTTAACTACATGCAACAGTCTTATGGGAAAGCAGGGGGAGGGGGCTGGAGAGCCATCCCCAGGGCGCCTGTAACTTAGGACCCTGCATTTCTCACGCTACACTGAGGGCTGGACCAGGTGGGGGAGCAAGCTAGAACTTCGTCCTCAGGAAGCAGCACCAAAAGAGGAAAAGCAGTCACCTCGCTAGTCGCTGTACGCACACAGGAAGAGCCCAATTTACAGTTGCCACCGACACCCCCTGTCTTGCTCCGCCCCAACTTACGTGTGTGTGTGTGTGTGTGTGTGTGTGTGAGGGACGACTAACGCTTTACCCCACAAATCCAGAGACACCTCCCTCTGTCCCAAGTGAAGTCCTCCCACTTCCCATCCCGACCGAACCACGCTCGGCCGGCGCAGGTGTCTCGCTCTGGCCTATTTTTAAGACCAGCCCCCCCAACCCCCGCCATCCCCATCACGTCGCGCCCCTCCCGCCTCCCCAGAGCGGTGTACTCTGCAGCCCAGACGCCCGGAAACCCCAGGAGCCCTCCTCTCCGGTCACCTGGCCGGGGAGCCCGGCCCTGCCTTCAGGGGAGCCCTGGGGCCGTCTCTTGTCGCGGGGCCCGCGCACAGCGCGCCCCGGACTCCCCGGCCGTCACGTGGGCGGCCTGGGCGGCCGGGCCGCCTCACCTGCATCCCAGGCACTTGGACGGCCACCGGTGAGTGGGCCATGAAGGCGACGGCAGCTCCGCTGGGCTGGGGGACGGTGGCGCCTGGGGCTCCGTCTGGCTCTCCTCCAGGGGTAGCTCGGCGGCCCTCCCAGGCTTTTCGAGCCGGGCCTGGAAGGACACACAGAAGTGGGGTGACGGGCGGCGGTGCGCGGCCCCCGGGCGGGAAGAGGGGCGGATCGCGGCGCGACTCCCTGCCCGGGACTCAGTCTACCTCTCCGGCGCCCGCCAGCCGCTGTGGCCGTGGCCGCCGCTCGGGCTCCTCCTCCGGAATGCGGGGCGCTGTGTGTGGCGGCGGCTGGGACCTGGCTCGAGTGATGCCGCTCGTCTGCGCCTCGCCGCTTTAGGAAGAGGAGGTGGAGGCGCCCCAAACACCCGCCCGCTCGCCGGGCCGGGAGGCGGGTGGGGGCGGGTCCGCTGCTGGCCCTGCCCGCCGCCGCCGGGCGCTGTCGGGACCTCCGCGGCTCCCCGCGGCGCAGGGCTCGGGCGGGGGTGGCCGCCGGCCCAGAGGGCGACCCCACCCCCACGCCGAGGGTAGAACCTGGTGACGGCGGCGCCCGGAACACTGATCGGCCGGGAGAGAGCACCGAGGAGTTTGGGGGACGGGGGCGTGGGGCGGGGAGGGGGGCGTCCCAGGACTCGGCCACGTTGCAGCCCGGCGTGCGAGGCCGGAGCACGCGCGGACTCGGCGGCCGGCGTGTCGAGTTGAAACTTGGGGAGTGCGAGAAGTACTTCTCGGCTCCCCGACCTGGGGGAGGATAAGGTCACAGAGAGCTGCCGGTCAGTAGAACCCCCCCCGCCCCCACTCTTTTCCCGCCCTCGGGTCCCCGGGGTCTCGGGCCCAGCCGCTGGGAGGCGTGGCCGACCGATGCCCCGCCCCCAGACCGGCCTCAGGTGACTTAAACCTGAGGCTGCCCCTACCTCACGGACTATCAGCTGGTGGGGGACGGCCAGACTGGGGCTGCTATTCACCTTGAGTTCCGCATGTGTAAGAGAGAGGGAAATTGGAAAACAGATGATACACCGGCAGAAAAAATAATGAGGATAATAGAGGCCTGGGAAATGAGATGGGCTCATTAGCAGTAGATATTATTGAACTCAGCAGACACAGCAGTGGCTTCAGCAAATCCCTGCCTCCACCCCATTTAAAGTTGCATGCCAGGAGGAAGAGAAGTTCTTCTGAGAGTATACCCTATAAATAGCAACAACAGTAACAACGATAATAATAGCAATCACGGGAATCTCATTATGAGGTCTCCTGTGGGAACCCATATGGGGTTAATCACATTTTAAAAAGTGTAATGTCCAAGTGCCACTTTAGAATGAGGATGAAGTTCCCTACCTTGTGGGTTGTTATAGGTGTGGCCCGATACAGTGCTGGGGCTCTAGTAGACGCTTGATAATGTTTCTCTTGTTCCTCTCGAATCTTTCTTAAAAGATAGCACATTATTGTTATGAATATCATTCGTATTAATGCATGCCCTTTTCTTTGTGCCAGGCGCTGCCAAATGCTATGTATGTCTTACCTTATTGCATCTTTAACCCACAGGTCGTATTGCTTTCCTCCCATTTTACAAATAAAGACGACTTAGAGTGGTTAAATAATCTGACCAAAATATCACCCAATGGAAAAGTGGTAGAATTGCAAATTCAAACCCGGTTCCAACTTTTAACATCAACTGTCTTATCAACTGTAAAGTATAAAAACAGTATTGCAAACTAGAGTTGCTACACTGCACGTTATACCCCAGAACTTATTCATTCATTGTATAACTGCAAGTTTGGACATTTTACCGCCTTACCTTTCCTGCCTGTCCCCCCCAACCCCCATCATCTGCCCCTGGCAACCACCAATCTGCTCTTGGTTTCTATAACTGATGATTTTTGTGTTCCACATATAAGTGAGAACATACAATATTTATCTTTCTCTGACTTATTTTACTTAGCATAATGCTCTCACGTTCCAACAATATTGCCATAAATGGCAAGGTTTCCTTTGCATAATATTACATTGTATATATAGATTCACATTCTCTTTAGCCATTCAGATGATGAAGGATATACTTGAGCTTTCCTTACTCCTACTTCCCCACATCTAGGTCCTCACTTCTTCTCACCTGATGATAGGCTCCAATCCAGTCTTATTTCCCATCAGCCCAGCTCACACTTAACAATGCCAGCCTGCCCAGAATCCCACAGTGCCACCCAAACTTTGTAGAAACTCCCTGTGATTCTTTTGAAAGCGTAGATTTTGACTTAGCAAGTCTTAAGTGAGCCTGAGATTCTATACTAACTACAAGTGGTGCTGGCACTGCTGATTCTTAGGCCACACATTGGGCAGCAAAGGTGTGAATCAAACTTCTTCATTTCAAGGCTCTTCTCAAATTCCACCCCCATTGAACCTTCTATTGCTCCAAGCCCTATCCAACCTCCACCTATTGCATGTTGGTGGAAGTAGCACTCACATTGCGGTTCTCACTTCTTATTTTATGCATTTGATATGCTTAGTCCACCCAACAAGATTAGCAGGTCCTTGATATTAGAAAGGCAGTTTCTGTTACAGAAGGATTACCCAGACAGAATGTGAGCACAGAGAGGGCAAGATTTTTGTCTGTTTTGTTCACTACTGCATTTCGAAGCCTAGAAATGTGTGTGGCACACAGTAAACCCTCAGTAAATAATTGTTGAATGGATGAATGAATGAATGAACATCCTTTGTATTGTTGTCTGAGGTTGGTATGATGCTAGGTGTGTGGTGGGTATATGGTATGGTTGATTAATGCCTGGTTATAGTCTTTCCACTTATTTTGTTTCACATCTACCTAAGTTGTATAACTGTTTAATAAGTAAATTAAGCATATTTGAGAAAAGACTTTCCTTACTTCATTCTGGGCCAGAGTTATGTAAGAATGTGAAAGACTGAATGCTAAATTGAGCTATGAACTATTGAGACATATCCTTAAAAGCAGCACTTTGAGATCTCAGTAAACTTTTTGATCTTTATTTAGGTTTACTGCTATGACATAAACTGTTTTTATATTTGATAGAGAGCACTTATACCTTTTCACATATATATATGTTTCTTTTTAAAAAAGATTTATTTATTTATGCATATAAGAATTGGGGTACAGGCCGGAGGTGTTGGGGGGGTGAGAAGATTCACCAGAGACAGAATGGGGAACAGAACAGGCAGAGCAACTGAAATACACTGCTGAGGGGAGCAGCAGGCGAGTAAGGAGGGGTCTGATGCACCATGTGGGTAGCTCCCTGCTGGGGATCGAACTCGTGCTGCAGTGGCTGCGGATAGCTTCATAGGTTGTGTCTTAATCCCTTGCACCACCAGGGATGCCCTATATATATATATTTCTAACTTAAATAAAATGACAAGAAATTCAAGTGTGTTTTTTTACTCTCCCTGCTTCAAAAGTACACTGGAATATTTGGCTTTAAAGTGTCAGCCCCCTCCCCCCAAAAAATAAAATAAAATGAAGTGTCAGCCCAGAGTCTAATAATGTTATAATGTATTCCCGTAGCTTTATGGGAAAAGTTCTTTGGAAACACCACATCCATGCCCTTTGGTAGCCCCACAGAGTGTAACATAGTGCCTCAACCTGCTTGGCACTATCAGGCCATAAGTGGTGGCTATGAATACTTAATAACCATATAAATAAAGCAAAATTGTTTACAGATTAAGCAAAGTCAGTGAATTCCAACCTAGACAGTGTCCTTGAGCCCAATAAAATTAAAAACTTAAATTTACAATCTGTGGTTTAACTTTTCTGGTATTTGAAATACACTCCATATCAACTTTACCCAGGTTTATAAATATTTACTGAATGGACTGGTTCATAGCTAAAGTGTAGGTATTCCAAAATGGCACAAGGGGTTAAGTCTCAGTACTATGAAGCTATCTGCAGCCACTGCAGCACGAGTTCGAGCCCCAGCCAGTGGGCTGACCCACACTGTCTCACCTGCTGCTCCTCAGCAGTGTATTTCAGTAGATCTGCCTGTTCTGCTCTCCACTCTGTCTCTGGTGAATCCTCTCACCCACTGCACCTCTGGCCTACATGCCAGTTCTTATATGCATAAATAAATACAATAAATCTTTTTTAAATGGTCAAACTTTAATGTAGGCAACAGTAAGTTAGTACATCAGGACCGTGGTTCTCAGCCAGGTTCAATTTTGCCTGCTGGAGACATTTTTGGTTATCACAATGGGGAGGGAATAGTGTCACTGGTGACAGTTGCAGGCCGGGGATGCTGTTAACCATCCTCCAGTGCACAGGACAGGCCTCACAACAAAGGATTGCCCAGTCCCAAATATCAGTGGTGCCAAGGTTTGAGAAACCATGCTCCTCCACTCTTTGCATTAGGAGTTACTAACCAAGAAACAGACCAGGGAATCATTGTGCCCTGAGGATGTCAGCGCAATGTGGTGGCTGGGGCCAAAAACAAACAGAACACCCCACAAGGTGTTGGGCCACATGAAGGAGGTGCGGTATTTTTATGTTACCTTTGTACTGAACCTTAGCTCATCTGCCCTTCACCAGAGTCACTACTATGTAATAAAATGTAATAGTGAACAGAAACTAACTTTAAAAGCAATTAACGATTTCTCAAACATATTATCCATGGAGCATTTTCTAAAGCACCAGGCATGACCTAGGAACCTTTGACTAGGTTGCCTCTGAGATAAATTTAAGGTCTTACTCCACAAAATTTCAGGGTAGGACTTCACACCTTGACTTTCACATTTTGAGCTTGATAAGGACACTGAAATGTACACAGTGTATAAATATCTGACATGTGAGGGCAGATTGATACAATTATCTGGATTTCTTCCAATTATCTGAGTATTTGAAACTAAAATTTCTGGAGTAATTTAGAAGCTCACCATAGGATTGTTTTGATTCAAGCTACTGGACTCTAGGAGAGTTGGAAGGACAACATTTAGTGCTTCTTTTAACAGAAAAATGCAAGCATATGTGATACCTCAAATCTCCTCTTTACTCTCTGTGGGTATCAAATTGGCAACCATGATATAATAGTTCTTGCAGATGTTGTAACCTCACTATTGTTCCAGCAAAGCATCCCAAAGAAAAAAAACTATTGCCTTCATTTTGGTCAAGGAACATTAAGCCTGTGTAATTACTTAATTCTCCTAAATAACCTGGCACCTTTGGGGACTTGCACAATCATTTATAACAAACCTAGTATCGAAGATGTAGCACAGCTGAGTTTTCTAGCTGGCTTGACTTCCTGACACTGCGGAGTGTGGGGTAGGGGTACAGCCACAGTGGAGGGGCGGGGAGCAGATGCTTCTTAAGAGGTTTCCTGCTTCTATTTCTTTACATCTCTGCTTACTTGCTTTGAAATAGTTGGTTGAAGTGCCAAAAGAATTGCGCTCAGAACTCCTTGCCTACTCCCATTGGTTATCGAACTAAGCCAGGTCAAGGTAGAGGTAGAGGTAGGAGCCCAGAGATGGAATGTGGAGAGGTAACTTCCCGTTTCTGGTTTGGCTGCCTGCCTAACCTCTCACAGAATCGCACCACTGACCTTTAGATGCCTCAGCCCGGAGGGGAAGGCCGGCAGCAGCCAGCAGGCGCTCACCCACAGGCCCCTCAAAGGCGACAGAACCTCTGCTTGCTTCCCCATCACCCTCTCAAGATATCTTTGTGTTGCCATAGTGGGAGACGAAGGGACAGAGAAGTTTCTTAGGATGGTCTCTGGGAGACTGGGTTCTTTGTACTGACGTCAGGTAACTTCTTTTTGTAGTTTCCCTCACAAGAGAATCCATGTGTTACCACGAAATGATGCTGAACACCCAATTTGGGTGGTATTTTTTCTCCTATGAATGACCTTTTTAAAACATATTGAGTTAGCCTCTTGTTCTTTAATTGGGTAAGCGTCTCAAGAAAACAGTTCTAGTCCAAGGTGGCAGTTAAAAACTGAAGAAAAAAAAAGGGCCTGGCAGTTGAGACCAAATAGGAAGTGACTATGCCATCAGTTCATACTGAGGAAAAGGAAGTTGTTACCAGGCCCTCTAAGAAAGGCAGTTGTGTAAAATTACCACCCTTCACTGGCTTCTGTCGCCCTGTGGTAAAAGCTCCCAGAGCTTTGTTACTGCAGCTCTCGAGAGAATGAGAACAGAGCAGGGGAATAACCGGTGCCCCTTGCAGGACTGTTATCAGGGCCTAACAGAAGTTTCTGGGGCAGAGATTCCATTGTAGGAAGCAAAGCGCTCACCATACTCATTTTTTTTTTTCCTGTGCCAAATCGATATTTTAAGATTAGTCAAAATTCAGTATGTTATACCAGGAGCTCCGCTCTGAGGCTCCTCCTGCAGCCTATAGCAGGGCATTTGGCTTGAGAAATAGAATGCCTTATACTTTCACTTGGGCCCTAAAGGCAGCCTATGCCATACTACTTT